AAATTTCCTAATAAAATGATGAAAATTATATTGAGAAATTTGTATCTCAAAAATAATAAATATTAATGAAATAATTGATTTTTTTAAAAATGCGAGTTAGACGTCTTTTTTTAAGACTCACGTTTAACGTATTTTTAACTATTTTTGATATCTGTTTGGACTATTCGATATGCCCATAATGTAGTTCTTGAAATAAGTTTTGAGATGACATAAGCAATTTGTAGATTCGATTGACGTACGATCGTCGGAAAATTTTTAAAATTAGCATGTTATCGAAATTCAAATTTATTGTAAATTTGCCCCATTTGGTGGAGATTAAAATCAATTTTTTAGTAAATTTTGATAAAAGTTAAACAGTTATGGATTTCATGAAATATGTTACTAAAATTAATAATTAACTTTGATTTAGATTAAAATTTAAATTTCAATCGATACCAAACACGATTTAAAAAAAAAAAAATCTCAAAAGTTTGGGGGGCTACTTGCCCCCAGGACCCCCTTAGGTCCGCCCATGCATGGAGCCAACTCCAATCCGTAGGGCACCATCTTGGTCAGGAAAGTTGCTAATTCTTGATTACTTGGCATGGCATTGGGCAGGATAAGGTTGCATTCGGCATGGACGCACCATGTAAATGTTCCAAATGTTCTCCTCTTGATTACAAGGCATTATTCTTTTCCTTTCTAAAAAAATTCTTAAGTGAAAATAAATAAACAATTTCAATATTACACTGAGAAAATGCCTCTATAATAACTAGTAACTTGGTAGGATAATCGACTCAAAGTTTGAGTAATCGAAAATCTCTAATTTTTAATTTAAGAATGACGAGACGAGAGATGACTATAACCCGTTTTTCGTGATAGTCAGTAATTTTTTAACTGATCAGACTTTATTTTAGCTGCAAATTTCAAGTGATTCACAACATTTATCAATTTTTAACCAAAATTTTCATCGACTTTTATCAAAATATGCCAAAATTTTATCACACCGGCCCTATAGTTATGTAATGAAATATACAATAATATTAAAGACGGCTGTTTGTAGAACAAGACAATATGGCATATTGGCGTTATGCCTTCAACAAGAAGTGTTTTCATATGGAATCTTATAATTTGATCATTACCAATCTCATTTTCTTCTTCTCTTTCTCCTCTAAAAATGAGCATTTCATCAAAACCAGAAACACTAATTTTACAATCAACTTTTTTCCTTCTTCTTTTGTTGTTTTTCAACGTTGAAGCCAAGTGTAGAAAAGGATGTGACCTTGCCTTGGCTTCCTATTACATTTGGGAAGGATCAAATTTGACTTACATCAGCAACATTTTCAAACAAAAAATCCCTGAAATTCTTGTATTCAATCCTCAAGTTTCAAGCCCAGATACTATTCGAAGCGGTACGAGAATCAATGTCCCATTTTCGTGTGAGTGTTTGAATGGTGATTTTTTGGGTCATACGTTTGATTATAAAACTGTAAGGGGCGATACCTATGCTAAGGTTGTTGGGTTGGCGTTTGCTAACCTTACTACACAGTATTGGATCCAACGGGTCAACAGTTATGAACCGACTCAGATACCCGATTTTGCTATCATCAATGTGACGATTAACTGTTCGTGTGGTGATAGGCATGTGTCGAAAGATTATGGGTTGTTCACGACGTACCCCCTTCGTCCTGGGGAGAACTTATCTTCGGTGGCGAATGAGACTGATCTTCCGGCTGATTTGTTGCAAAGATTCAATCCGGACTCGGATTTTGGTGATGGATCCGAGATTGTTTTTCTGCCGGCAAAAGGTTAGTAAAATTTTGTTTGAATGCGATAGTTTATTATATAGGGGAAGGTTTACAATTTTGGTCTCGATGTCAAGCTTGACTTGAGGTGCAAATTGAGATGGGATGACCGAACCCCTTGAGTGATTTGCACTCGACTTGGGGTCAGGCCACACACCAACCTGATTCTTGATAAGTTGAATCATTTTGCATGGAGAGACGAAGCCTGATTGCTTCATTATTATTAACTTTAAAATAAATAAATAAATAAATAAAATCTTGCCAGACATGTTTGCGTTATACCCGTTTAAGGTGGGTTTGTCCGATTTAAGCAATTCTACACCAAATATCGCTCATGTTTAATTTAAGTAAACTGTAAAAGTAAGATTTATTTTAAAAGTTAATAAAAGTTAATGAAATGTGTAATTGAAAAATTATAAAAATTATGAGGCAGCAGGCACATGAAATGTAAGATTGAAAAATGAGTATAGAAAAATAAGATAATGGAACAAAAAATGATAGAAACGTAGTGTCGATCTTTGATTTGTCATAATAATTTATGGCTGGTTTACGAGATTTTCTTAGTAATTTGATGTAAAAGATTTGTGATAGACCCTCAATTTATTAGTAAGACAGACTTAGTCGTTAATCTAGTGGTGTTGACTGTTGAGCATATTTATTATAGTTTGTAACATTGGGGGTCGAGAATATGAGGCAGAAATTGTAATTCAGCCCCTGTTTGGTAGGGATTAAAATTAAAATTTTAATTTTAGTTAAAATCAACAATTATTTTTAACTATATATTCTATGGAACCTAGGAAGGCAATGGAGCAGGTATAGGACAGGTAGACCATTCCCACCCCCGTCCCGTCGAGTATTTTTGTCTTCTTATCCCATCTCCATAATTAAAGTGGGACGGGATGGGGCGCGTCCTTTGTCACGTGTATTTTTTTTTTTTTTTCAAGTTTTTAGTTAGGAAATATTATTATTATTATTATTTCAATATTTTAAAAACAACATATGCTCCCTTTAAAAATGATGATAAATTTTTTATTTTTGTTTGATAAAAAACTTAAATATAAATTAAGAGACGGGTGGAGAGGCGAAGACCATGTTTACCATGCCGGCCCTGTACCTACTTTAGGGCAATGATCATCGCTCCATCCCCTACCCCATTTACTCGGTTAGGTGAGTAATCCCAGTCTCATTCGAGGAGGAGCCCCACGGGTATAGAATTGAACGAAATTTTTTTTGTCATCCCTAATGAAATCCATAATTTTTTAATCATACATTTTAGCAATTTTTATTTAAAATATATTAAAAATCTAATTTTAATCCCATCAAACATGGACTTAGTTTGTCAATAACATACCAAACAATCCCAGTAGTTATGCCTTATTTGACAGGGATTCTTTAAAATAATTTTTTTCTTATTTTTTAATAGTTTATTTTTCCAAAAAAAAAAAAAGAAAAAAAATTATTTTTCACAAAATTAATTTTAAAAATCTTGATCAAACATGCTCTTAATTCTTGTCTTCATTTAAAAAAACAAAGTGTCGCAGTGTTTGTGGGATGATCGGTGAATTTGGCTTTAATTCTTGTCTTCATCACCTCATGACAGAAGAAACAACAAAAATAAAAGATTATTTTTAACCATTTTTCATTAAATTATTCCTAATTTTTGCTTCTCTGGCCTTTCTTTCAATTAACTAAACAATTATTTTGACCAATTCTCAATAAATTATGCATATTTTGCAATTGACAGCTTCTAATCATAGCAATAAATTGAAAAAAAAACTATTAGTAATCTCATAATAATATTAATAATTTTATATAGGAAGAATTGCAGTTATGGTCCCAAATCTTTTATATTGTTGCATACCACATTCTAATCCTTTCATTTTACTGTTGGATTCCCAAACCTTGCATCTCGAGTGCAGTTGGAGGACATGTGGATGAAATCCATTTATTTGACCGTTACTTGACGAAAGTTAACGATCTGACCAAATTATCCCATATAAATAATTAAATTAAAAAAATCCTCTTGATCAGACCATTGACTTTTGATCAACTTATGATCACATGTCCTCCAGTCGCAATAGAGATGAAAGATTTGGGACTCAAACTGTAAAAATAAAGGATTTAGGTATAATCTGCAGTAATTTGAAAGGTTTGGAACCCCAACTGCAATTCTCCCTTTTATATATTTATCAGTGGTGGGCCATCCATGCAGTGAGAAAGTGTCTACATATTATTGGGCCTAGATGAAATATTAGGCCCAGTCATCCCACGCCATCCATTTACGCGGTAAAATTAGGTTATATGAGACGGAGGTGGATGACCGTCTAAGTATCAAAGACCAATTTTTTAAAGAAAAACACGTTGAAAAAAAATGCAAAGTTGAATTTTTCAGTCAACTAATAAACCCAAAGTTTATAGAATTTCTTACCCTTTCAAACCTTAAACAGATTTGTAATCTGGGTTGATTGAAGTCCCTTTCCTCTTCAAGACTTTCAGTTTTCAAAAATTGTCCTAAGATTTTCTTGATCATCAGGAAATATGGTGGTGCAAGGAGTTAGGAGGATTATTTTTTTTCTTGTTTTTCTGGTTTTCACCATTTTCTGGGCTGGAGTTAATTCACAATGCAGTGAAGGATGTAATGCATTAGCTTCATATTATGCCTGGGGTGGATCAAATCTAACATTCATATCGACCATGTTGTCGACTACTATCAACGATATTGTTAGTTACAACCCTCAAATTACCAATCCAGATATCATTCGATTTGGTAGCAGAGTGAATGTGCCCTTCTCGTGTAGTTGTGTAAATGGTGAATTTATGGGTAATCAGTTTCCCTATCGGGTCAGGCGTGGAAACACTTACCTAAGGATCGCAGAACTTATTTATTCAAATCTTACAACAGTTGAAATGTTGCAGAGGTTTAATAGTTATAATCCTAATGGAATCCCAGAGAATGTACAGTTGAATGTTACTGTGAATTGTTCATGTGGGAATAGCCATGTGTCCAAGATTTACGGGCTATTCATAACTTATCCTCTTCGCCCTGGTGAAAGTTTGTCTGCAATAGCCAATGGCTCTCGCCTTCCTGAAGGGTTGTTACAAGATTACAATCCTGGAGTGAATTTCAGCCGCGGTAGTGGTTTGGTTTTCATTCCGGGAAGAGGTAATTGATTTGCTAGCGAAGAGTTCTAGTATCAAAATACAGTGTAGGGATGGAGTTTTTTTGACCTTTTTATGTATGGGAAAAGCATCAGAAAATGGGCTTATGCTTTCTCTAGTTTTTGTTTATTTCATAAAAATCTTACTAAATCAGAAAAGGGTCTCCAGTGTAGCTGGAAATGATAAATTAGTTAGTCTAAAATGATAATTATCAAGAGCAGCACGCTCGTATAGGCATTTAATAAAATTTTTTTTTTATTTTTTTTGGTGTGCTCGGCAAACTAATTATACATAATCAGTTGCTTCTTTCTTCCATTAATACATTTCAGGGAGGGGAAATTGGGATTATATTTTCAAATTTATGCTGGACAGAATTTTCGATTCTTGAATAGCTGTGGTTGATGTCTGCTCATTTCCATTTTTACTGCAGATCAAAATGGAACTTATCCGCCATTGAAATCAAGGTTACTTATGCTACCTTAAAAATTCCTAGACTTTTTTGTATTATTTTTAACGCCGTTATCTAATATCCTGCTTTCTGCGTGTATTTTTGCAGTTCAGCTGGTTGAATCTTCTGTATCTCATGGTCAAATAGTTCTTACCTTGATTTTCTTAATCCTCTGGAAGTCTAATCAGAGTCATATATAGCAGGAATTTCAGGTGGAGCCATTGCTGGAATATCAATTGGAGCAGTTGCAGGAGTGATCCTTTTGGCAGTTTGCATCTATTTTATATTCTACAGAAGGAAGAAGGTGATGGAAGAATCTATTCTCCACAATGACCAAGGTAGATAATACGCCTGGAAATTGGCATGTCAATTCTTTTTTCGCATAGTAGTTTTTTCTGTCAAAAGATGGATAATGAATGAGCATTTGATCTAAGAAACAAGAATGAATCAATTTTTCTGAGTCTGAAGGATATAGCCATATTTGGTCTCTCTGTAGCTTCTGTGTCTCACAGCAATACTAAATTTGGGCTGGAAACTAGCAAGTAATTTATTACAATCATATGCTTTCTCATGGATTTAGGTCCTGACATGCTGGAGAAAACGTCAGAATCTGGTCCTATTGTTGCTACTGCTTCTCCAAGGCTCAAGGGTATCACTGTGGATAAATCAGTTGAATTCTCATATGAAGAACTGGCAGTTGCTACAAATGACTTTGACATCTCTTATAAGATTGGTCAAGGTGGCTTTGGAGCTGTTTACTACGGAGAGCTTAGAGGCGAGGTTTGTGTCCCATAGCCCGTGCTATTCGTAGTATTATGATGACTAATGAAAATTGATTATCGTTTAGTTCTAATTCGCTTTTTACTAGGTATTAACTATTAACTAGTCGATTCAAATTCATATTCATGTTCACAAAGAATACTGCAGTTAACTAAATATGTTCAGTTAACTATCTGCAATTTTTGGGTTTTTATCTGTACATGGATTTTAAAAGAGAATTTAAGGACAACATGTAGCTGGACTAGAATCTTCATAGCAAAACCTTGGACTTGATTGAGCTTGACTCTATGAAGACAACATTGGAAAGACCAGTATATGTTACTTGATAATTTTGTTTACTGCAAGGATGTTGAGTGGACTTGTCGTTGAGTAACCACTCCATACCTCTCAGTAACATGGCTGAAGAGAGCAGCATATTATGGCATAATTCTTGAAATGCTGGCATTGATTTCTTAACCTTTACAACACTATATTGTTGGGGTTTCAAGAAGATTAATCACACTTCACTGTTCGACCGAAATTCTTAAAGCATATGATCTTGTGAGCGAGCAAATTACAAAATATCTTGGAGAATATGTTGCATACCATTCTAGTATCGGGCGGACAGTTGTTCAATTGCCA